GACGATGAAATCCTGCGACAATGGGATATAACTATTGGTTTTTACATGGTGATATAACAGAAACACAAAAGGTGCAACAAATCAAGCAGATTTTTGTTAGCAAAAACTTAAAAATAATACCATGATGAAAGTTTAGAACATAGCCTGAATGTATTATCAGTATATAATATTATTATTCTCATTGCTGTTTTCAGATTGGTATTGCTATTATATATTGTTTTTGAACATTCTTAAACGCAATTTTTAATGAAAAAAATTTAGTTATTAAAGAAAAAGTTGACATTTTCACGATATATGAGAATATTTTGAATAAATCTATCGTAACTCGAAAACTAGAGGTGATCAATAATTTTCAACATGATTTTTAAAATCGGCATCGTTAAGTTACTCAGAAACAGTTGTAATTTTTTCTAGTAGCAGATATTTTTTGTTGTTGTCCGGTGTAGTTAGAATTAATGGTGGATAAAACATTCCAGAAATAGAAAGGAAGAAATACGTAAGTATTAAACTATTGTAAATGCTCACTAGTGGTAAAATGATAAAGTTACGCTCATTTGTAAGCTAATTGTTTTTTATTCTAAACTCATGGTTATATACAGCTGTTCTTGGAATAAAAAAACATGATTTTTTTTGTAGGCGACGGGGGTCCATAGGGTCTCTCAAATATTATCGAATTTATAATATTCAGTTATTTCCTGTCCAACTGTAGTTTCAGAATTTCCCAGATATTCTGTATCGAACAGCTGTGAAGTGATATTGGAATAAATCATAGATATCTTTGATGCTTTATGATTATTTGATTTTAGCAGCCGGCTATAAGCAGAAAATTTTGTACATAATATTCCTTATACTGAAAGCATGTTCTCATTTCATCTAATGCATTTTAGATGTCTTTATAATTTGTAAGCAGCTTTAACATTATAGCCTTCGCTTACTTGCAGTTATTTCGTACATATGCTCGGTTTTGAGTAGTGTGGCATCAAAATATAGTGGGGAAAAACTTCCACTGATAATTTACTTTAAGATACAAAAATTGCAGTGTACTCTATAAGATTCCTCATTTCAGCACTGAAAAACGAGTATGTAAAAAGCTGTGAAAGCAATGCACAACCTTACGTTGTATAAATATATAAATTGAGATTATCTAAAGAGCTGAATAAAACTAACTCCTATAGAGTTAAATATTAAGACATTAGGGTGTTACTTTCAACGCTATATGTAAGCATTAAGAAAACAACACCAGCCGGTGGTACTCGGTATTAAATTTTAACAATGTACTGTATTCATACAAGACTAGGACAGTGTAAAACCCAAACACTTTTCAAAAGTCATTTTAATATTATACAGTTTGGGACTATATTTTCACTGTGCCGGTATAAATTTTCCACTTGTTTGATGGTTATTTTAATATGGAATTTCATATATTTTTATTTCGAAAGTAAATTCGCATTTTAACGCACAATGTCAGGGGTGTTTTATTTGTGTGTGTGTGTTTTCATGCAATTGCAAAGAAGAGGTAACTTTAAACAAATAATTGTGAATCGGAAATACAAAAGCTATATCATAAAAGATCTGTAGTAAGCCTTTTCCAGTCTTTAAAGTTTAGATATATACTTTTATCGAGACCTATTTATTCTAGTGTGCACTTTCACAAACGTATACGTCAGAGGTTAAAATAACTGAATAAAAAACATAAAAAACTAAACAATAATGAGTACATTCAACTTGATAAAACTGTCACCACAAAAATATCGATGTTATGAAATCTGTAAAAACTGTAAAAATACATAATATTGAAACTGAATGAAAGAAAAAAAAGATTTATGATATTAAAACAATGAAAGGTAAAACACTGGACTTACAGAATAGTAATTACAGCAAATATTCCAATTCTGAAGCTCTAGCATATGTAATTTAAAATAAATTAATAATTATGGAACCAAGAAAAGTACATCAATGTAACAAAAGGTTAAATTATTGTTTTCACAATTATGTTTGTCTTATGTTGTAAGGAACAAAGTGATTCATTTGGATAAATTGATATATTTTTACATGTGAAACATGAAAAACTATTGTAAAGCTGTTGCTAACTACAATATGCAAAATTATTTACTGAAAAGAATGGCATAGTTTTATCATGGCTACATTATCGCGTCAATATACAATCACATTCATAATGTATAATAGTTGAGGCAGAATGGTCAAATTTTAAGTCCATTTACACACCTCCGACCACACCTTTTACATACAATATCATTCATGAAAACTAGATTTCATAAAACATTATTTTCCAAGTGAATATTACAGATTATAACACGTGGAAGTAGTAACTGAAGAAGATTATCAACTCGTTATGAAAGTTGCATACATGAAATCTCCAAAATAAAAAATATTTTACCTTTCGATCTTCTGTGATCATTTAAATTTTGCAAACATTTGTGTACACATATTCAACTAAACATAAACTTTACAAAAAACTGTAAAACCATATTACACACAATGTACAAAACAATTAAATAATAATTAAAATTAGTAAAATTATAGCTATGACAAGAAAAATCCACTTTTTAAATGATGCTAGTTTTTCTCTCTTCATTATTATGAAAATAAAGCATCTGATGATCAGTCATGTGATTTTAAATGCAAATAATTTCTTATTCAGCCTATGATGTATAAGTGATCTCATATAATATTGTCTCACTTTCAACAGGATAACGTACTTTAAAATGTTTTTGATTGCTCATAAAACATGTTGAAAATTGGCTATAAACGTCTCGAAGTGCTATTCAAACTAATGGTGCAGTTGCTCGGACATCAAGACAAGTTGACGACCATTATCATAATTGCTGGATACCTGTTCAAAGATTAGTTCAAGTATTTATAATCACAATTAGACGCCCTGACAGTATACAGATAGTCAGAAACAAATTTCGTTATCAGGCCAGTATGTATTCTGGACGCCCTAAAGGTTCATTACGCTCACAGAAGATAGATGTATATTCCATTAAAAGGAACCAAAGACTAGATCAAACCTAATTTTCATAAAGTAACGTGACGCATATGGCGTTAGTAGATTTATTGTGTCTTTGGTTTGAATTTCTCGCGAAGCTACACTAGGGCTATCTGCGCTAGCCGTTCCTAATTTAGCAGTGAAAGACTAGAGGGAAGGCAGCTAGTCATCACCAGCCACCGTCAACTCTTGGGCTACTCTTTTACCAACGAATAGTGGGAATGACCGTCACATTGTAACGCCTCCACGGCTGAAAGGACGAGCTTGTTTGGTTGAACGAGAATTCGAACCCACGACCCTCAGATGCGAGTCAAGTGCCCTTACCACCTTGCCATGCCGGGCCATTTATTGTGTGGTGGAGGTATCGACCTCTAAGTAATACCATTAACGACACACATTAAAGAAACCAGTTCCTAAAATCCTTTGACTTGTTATATGCTGGTTCATCTGTCCCAGACTTCAGCTTAATGGATTATAACTCCATCCTTCGCCATTTCTTGATGAAGATAGGATTGGTCGAATAAAGTGAACTACGCCCTCACCGGATTTCAGTGTCAAAGAGAATGTACGAGACATTCTTGGAAGATGCGTCGAATCCTGTAAGATGTCTTCAGACATTAAAAACCGCTTGTTCGGAGCAATGTTCGAGGAGATACCAGAACCTTACTGTAATTTAAGAATGTAACATTGATACCAGACTGCCTTTGCATTTTGTGATTACCATACTCCGTATTGAAGTGAAATTTCATAAACTGTAAAGATATAAAGCCACCCCTACCAAATCCTTATTTAAGAATGCAGTCTGAATGAATAATCATTTTGCATTTCAAATCATATAACGAATCGTCAGATATTTGATTTGCAAAATATAATACTAATAATTTAGGGGTTGTTTAAAGTTATTTTATAGCAGTGGTTTTACTTTCTTATAGCTAACGTATTATGAATTCAAATTATCATTTAATTGTTTTATGTAGTGTATCATATATGTTTTTAATGTCCACACAATGGCCATTCTTTTAAATGGAACTTCAGTAGTAATCCCAAAATATTTGCACACCAAGTGCACAATACTATCCGACATTTGGCTTAATGTAGAATTAGCAAAAACCTAGTCTAATTCACCATGTTAATGCTCCTTTTTTGATCTTTTATATTTTCAATAAGAATCGTTTCTATGATATTTTTAGCTATCATTGTTCCAATAACCCATTGGTATAACCCATTTCATAAATGTTAGTTAACACTGATTTATTGTATAAAATATAATAAGTTCTAAATTAATTTGAGAATGAAAATATTGAGTGAAACATCGCTTAAGTTATCTTTAAAAACCTACATTCCTGAAATAAAATAGTGTTCCGAAAAACCCACGTTTTAGATGACGTACCTACGGGCAACGTAGTATAAAGGATAAACTAAATATGGTATTATTTCTAACCGATTTCAGTTCTTATAAATGGTTTATAATTGTTACGCACTGATAATCACATAAGCAAGAAGAATAGAATTTTCTCGCAAAGATTTGTTTTTTTATTGTTGTTGATGTTGTTTGAGAACAAAAACTTTCGTTCAATAGATGATTATTATTCTTACTAAAATAACAATATAAAGTTATTTCACCAGCAGAAATGTGAGGTTGAACACAAACTAAAATATAAAAAATATGATAAAATACTGGTTTGTTTTACATAAGTCACCAGGAAGTGTTTTCATTTTGTTTGTTTACTCTATATTTTGAAATACTGTTTTTACGAACTAATGAAAATAATCAAAGACCTTATTTAGTATAGTAATAAAACATTATAATGTCAACTTTTTTAATGTTTATTTCTGGAATATTAAAACATTTTTAACTAATAGATTGTTTTTTAAACATAGTATTTAAAAAGCAAATAACTCGAACATAAACATAAATAATCAAGAAAGATCATAATGGAACATTCATGATGTTTTGTTCAATCACATTTTGAATCCACTCCTGTATGCTTTATTTGCTGAGAGAACACGCCATCTGGGTGTAACGAAGCTGGAATCCTGGAATGATAGGGTCGTGCAGTTGGTCTGTCAACACAGAAACGGTTATAGGTCCCGAAACGGCTACAAAGAATGACACTGAAGTTGCATTAACCAAATATTTAAAAGGATAAATTGTAACTTTTTATAATATGAAGTAAGGATGTTTCTAGTTGTTATTTAGATATTATAACAGTTTTTATAGCTGCATTGAAATACAGACAAATAGTAGAATAAAAACAACACATAAACGTATTAACATTCTTGTTTAGAAAAGTAATGAAGTTTACATTCATCATCTCATTACAATTACTTTATGGAACGAAAACCGTTACATTTTACGTGAACTTTTCGGTAGCTACGAAACCACTTCATAACAATTAGGCACATATCTGCGAATTGCTACATAATAATAAATGTCAATAGAAGAACAAACGATGCGCCTACATTTTCTACCATACTGTTGTGTGTCTTTACAATGAACAAAATTATTATATGACAATTACGGTGAATATTGTTCAGTGCAATATTTCTGTGGGAATAGTATATTACTGATCAATGTCGAAACAAATGACTTTAATTTAGAAAATAAATGTTTCTTTTTCCTGAAATTTCTCTCTTTTATTCACATATAAAGAGGAAATAAATGACTCTAAAAAGCGTTTAATTAGTGACGTGAATGAAATGGATTAACAAGATGCATATTGTCCCCATCTACTAAATAAATAAACCACAGCCAAGAAAGTACAACATATAATTGTGGAATCTAAATTAATGTAGACGTTTACTTCGTAAATACAGTATAGGATTTCTTTCACCATTAAAACTATGAGTTCAAGTAAGTTATTTTCCTATTGTTCCTTGATATGTTAGACTCTATCTTGCACGCTCACTAAAAAACAAAACTATTCAGAGTTGCTCAAGTGTCAGTTATCGAAGAGTTTCTTTACGAAGATTGGTCGAATACTTACCTGCATTTAGTGATATAAAAGTTTCATTTTTTGTGAAACACAATCTTCCTTCACTTACTTTAAAATACCAACCAATCTGGAAAATTACACAAAGTTTTTCATTCCAATCGGACTTGATTCTAGGATTTACAGAATTGATTTCTAGGTATCTTGTATGATGTGGATTTATAAATCTCCATGTAAAGCACGTTTTAAGTCAAATTTTCAGCTAATGTTATTTGTTCAAAGAAACTATCAAGTTGAATGATATTAATAATTGTTCCGTTAATAAAACACGTCAAATAAAACTTCAAACATTCATTGTTTTTTTACTTTTTCCTTTCTTTTCCACTTACCTAGTAGAATATCCTAAAAAAGTTCTACATTAAACAACATTTTATTACTCAAACGAAACAAATCTTTGACAGAACAGTAATTTATAGTTTTTTAAATGACACTTGTCTTCTAAATCTTACGATTATTATTTGTACACAGAACACTTGAATCAAGAGAGCAATCGGGTTTCTAGCTTTAATCTTAATGAACATCGTAAAGCACTTGTTTTATAGAAACATTCCTTTACAAGTTTGATTCTGTATAAGTCTCTAACACAAATTGATAAAAAAAATATTAAACTTACCACTAGAGAACGGCGCATCATTGATGTCACAATACTTCATATTATTTATGGCGAAGTATTCAGTTCCACACTGAAGTTGAACGTTTCCTTCGGGTGAAAAATTCGTTACACACATACCTGCTTCTCTACGAAAACAAATAGCGTAATTCAAGTTTGCTAAATAGCCTTTTTCAGGATTTTGGTTTCCATAGTTGAAACTTTGAAACAATCCCGTGGCTCCGCTATAGTACTGGAGGCAACCAGGAGGAGCTATAAAAACAAACCAAGAAGAAAAAAAACTGTTATTTTATTTATATTAATTAGGAATAAGAAAATTACATCTTATTATTCATCTTTAGTAATTATTTAACCTTGTAAGTTCGTTAGATATGTGACCAAAATATTGCCCATGAAAAACAAAGTAAACTGCTTCGCCATACTCTTCATTCTAGTAGTAATTATTTTTGGCATTTGTCCACATAAATACTAACACTATATATATCCACACCGTGTAATTTCAACTGATATCTAGCTACGTATGTTGTATCAATTGTTGTATTCTCAATCACATATATATTATTAATACTATTACTTAAATATTATAATTCAAGTGTACATATTATTTCCATGCAACAACTTCAATTTTGCCACAAAAATACTCACCGCTGTCTACATCTTTATGATTTAATACAGAAGGTTAATCAAACTTTATAAGAAAGATTTGTGTTTGCTAAAGCAGTGTTGTGTCGCCAATGTTGATAGACGTGACACCAGGGGCACAATGCTTATCACTTATATATTTGGTTCACGCATATCCCTGACCACTCTACAATGCAATGCCTCTACGAGGAGACTTATACCGGGAATATTATGTCATAGTCTAATACAAAGTTATTATACGATGAATAACCTAAGAATCACAAAGTTAACAAGATTCCAGTAAGATCTCGAAAAAAAACATCCATTTTTATGAGAAAAATGGCTGAAGAAACTGTAAAAGGTCTGTGGAAAGTGTTTCAAAATATCCGCTCTAAAACTGACCTGTCGTTTATCCCAGAAGCTAATTACAATAGAATTAGCGATGATGTGTAAAAGTGGGACCATGGCTATGAAGGTGAGCAAATAAATAATGAGGAATAGTGCAAAGAGCAACACACAAAACAGGAAACATGGACTTTATAATGTTCTATTTAACCCTCAATATAAGTGTTTATTGTCTCCGCGCTTTTATTTTGTTCAATTTATTTTGTCGAAACCTCTACATATCTCATTTAGTGTAAAATTCTACTGTTCAAAGTGTTGTATTTTACCTTCATTTATTACATTTTATCTAGAGCAAAGGTTCTTACTTTTAGTTATATTGTTATGTAGTAGAAAAGTGCTTATGTTTATTTATACTGTTTCTTCTTATCTAATACAAGGAAACTCAATTTTATCTGCATGGTTACATTTATCTGGTACAAAGTTATCAACTGTCTACAGTAATACATCTTAATAATCACAAGGATATCTATATTTATCTGTAGCTCATCTACTACAATAAAACACTTTTACTTACACTGTTAATTCATATTTACTTCAACAATACTCCTATTTATCCATAATGTTAAATCTTATCTAATGCAAAGATACTAATTTCTAGCTACACAGTTACTCCATATCTAGTATAAAGATACTTACCTTTACCTACATTGTTAAATCTAATTTGTTTAGGGATAATTACCTCTCTATTCTCACTGTTAAGTCTAATCTAGTGCTAGACACTTATCTCTGTTACATCTAATTACATGCATGATGTTTACTTCTGTTCAGTCAGTAGCATAAGATCTCTAACGAGAGTGCTTACCTTTATTAACACTATTGCACAACATCTGGGACACTCTAATTTTCCACATTCGAGAATATGTTACGTTGGATGATATCATTCTAACAGTGAACGGTCCAGAAGAACTTCCAACTTCAACGTAAACTGCGGGGAAAGAGCTACAGTAAACAATGTAAGTAATGTAAATTTGTTAGACGATTCTTCTCCTTGTCCCTTCATTGAGCCTTACTATGCTATGGTAGTCCATTCGATTGTGATCATTCAGTAATTATAAAGTTTGATGTTTAAAAGTAACCCATACCATACTAATCTAAGTTCTGCTGGGCCATTTTGTTTTTACACACTTTTAAATGTTTAAATGACTATTGGGACTCATTTGCAACATCATGGATTCTCATCAGCAAGCGTGATTAAACTTGAATATAACCCAAGATGATCAAACACGCAACTGCAAACATTGTTCCAAGTACCAACAATGAAAGGTTAAATAACAATAGGCATTAGGATATATTAAACATTAATGCTTTAAGTGTTTATAAAACTTTTAGTTGGGATAGATTAGACAATATTTATTATTTGATCACATGAATGTATGAATATATGCATGTGGTAGATTTATGCTTGATTTTAAATTATAAACTAAAAAGACACTAAGTAGTACACAGGTGTTCCTGTTAATGATATCCCATATATCAGCTTGATCTATCCCAGTGCTCTTGTAGATTGACGTAACAAAAGTATTTCGGATAGTTTCACCGTATAATTAATTTCTTTATTTGTTTTGTATTCAGTAGGCTATCCGTTTTCACACATATACCTTTCTCTACTCTTTCCACGAAATAGAAAGATCTACTAATTTACAGAAATTTCCACTAATTCTTCTAGCCTTTCCGAAAACCTCCTACGGTGACAAAGTTCACTTATGTTGAATTTGGCAAACAAAATTTATAGCCAGTTGTTGTTTTTCGATGTGGGCCAGTGATTAACATTTCGAGCTGTGTATCAGAGGTTCGAGACGTAATGTGTAGCTGCACATCTTCCACATTTTTAACTGTGTTTTATTTGTGACAATCAATCCCGTTATTTGGTTAAGATAGCCGCGTAGATGGCAGATACTACTGACTGGTTGTATTGAATAGTAAACATTCTAATTTAGGGATGACTATGATTGAACTTTTGGGTATGTGTCTATAATAAGGTTCCGTTGAGGTTGAAATTAAAATAATTTAATAACAGTATTTTAACTGCTACAAGAATATGAGCTTCTTTATGTTTCACCGTACAGCAGACTGAATGTCAATTATAATAATGGACAAAAAAAAATAACTTTTATTGGCAGCATTGTAAAGTTACTTTGACATTTGTTGTTACTGTTGTTAAGATCAGTTTCCCACAGCAGTAAGCAAGATAGATTTAGATACATCGAATAACTACTTTATTATAACACCCAAACACATTGTATAATTATTCTTATTTGCATATGAAAAATATATTGATCATGTGATGGTTCAAGTACCTGTTACGGCTCTGTGTAGCCTGCGGAGGTAAACATATACCCCCGAAAATACTAATATATCATCTCCGTGACAAATAAGCCCGCCGTATAGTGTAGTCCTTGAAAAAAAAAACACAGAATACAGACATCCATGCCATGAACGAAAGGATCCCAAGAATAAACAATAATTTAAAAAGGACGTTCGATGAGAAAGTGGTCACAATCATCGATAAATTGTCAAGTCACATTCAGTACCGCTGTCCACAGTGAATTCAATGGCAATGGTATTCTATTTAGTCGGAAAACAACAGCTGCTGAAATGTCCTGATGCTTAAGACAACAAAATAGGCTATATGAGTTGTAAGGACAGGTGTGGAAAATGGCTTACGTCAAACGGCCGTTGCTGTTTCAGGATTAGTGCAAGTGTTTCTCAGAAGTTATCTTCATAGAATGGGCTTAAATGGCAGGGTGGCTAAACAGATGCCACACCTAATTCTAAATATATCATAACGTCTACAGCAGTGAGCCTCAAATGCTATCACACCGTCCTGCATTTTGAGATGCTGTAATTATTTTCTTACAGGCCAGGATTTGTACAATTCTCAAACAGTGGACCCGCCAGGGCTTGGTGTTTATCATTCCAGGCATTTTCATTGAACTGCAAATCACGACAAAATGTGATGGTGTTTCTATTATGGTGTGGGGTGTCATTTAGGCAACTGGGTGATAACCGCTGGTGGTATGTAAAATGATTGTCACCGCTGTTTGATACATTACAATTCTAAAGCAACACCTTCTGCCTAAGTATACCTTTGATCAGCTTACCAGTGTCTTCTGCAATATGAGGTTGGGTAGTAAACGATGACTTTTAAGCTCAGGACATTACCACTTTACAGTTGACCAGGCCAATCACTAGATACTCTACTGAACATGTGTGTTCCATCTTCTATCATCCCCTGTTAAACCATTCCAAACATCCAACTATTATGAATATCCTTATCTAAGTTCTTCGCTAGAAGCGGGGTCGAATCCCACAAGCTCAGCTTTTAGATCTTCTAAATGCAATGTGTAGCAATGTTTTTGCCTTAAGTATTTCATAAGGCAGATTCACTAACTGCTAATAGTAATGTTGTACCCTTTGTATATTTGTTTATTAATAAAACATCCAATTTTCTGAAGTGGGTTTTTATTTAATTATTGATAAGATGTGTACATACGCATAGTTGTAGTCAAGTCATAGTTCGTCTACAATACAATGGGTAAAAGCAAGGATATCTTTAGTTTTCAAGAGATATGATAATGGAAACTTGTCTTATAGGCACATCGTTATCAGGAACCGTTTCTTTCATACCACGCGAAAAGACAAAAACTGTTATATGGCAGTCGACAATCAGTCTCCAAATTCAATTACCTCAAATTCAAACAGAAAAGCGTAAATTTAGTAGTGCTCAGAACGCTAACTATGGAGCAGTTGTAGAATTCTAAACAATATATGCTCTCAACTTGGTACTCCCTCTGTTATCACTATCTTCGGGCTTAAAGGAAAATGATAGAATAGTTGGCTCGAGAAAACGTTCTCCACTCCACTGCACAGCATTAAACAGCTTATCCTGTCGTAAAAAAAGGAGTATCAAGTGTTTCATGTGGTTTCTATCCCTATTTTTGCTCTATTATCACTACAAAAATGGGTTTAAACGACTCATCAGACTATATCATACGTTTGAATATGACTGAAGTTACTGTTGTGTTTTTGTACCAATTCTGTGCATTCACAACACTGTACATTCTAGCATTATTGTCTTTGAAAATTCCTTGTTCATTAGGTTGAGTCTGTAGAAATATAAGAAAGAAATGACACATAAGAAAATTAAGTTGCACTCTGGAAGCTATTTGATCGTTGAAAAACACAAAGTATGATACGAAACTGTATTTGTTTGCTGCTTAATATTTCTATTGTATATATGTGTTTAACAAAGTTTTATATGGAACAAAATTTGTTGTAGTTAGACCTGTAAAACTTTAATAAATGTTTAGGTGGTCTTTTTGGGCAAATAGATAAATAGTAATTTAATGACAGTCGGACTGTCTACTTGATTAGGAATCCTATTCAATATCGGGTTTGATTAATTTTTCAGATTAGTACTCTGAACGTGGTATTGCAGGAGATGCTGAAGGTGTTTTGTTCAGTTCACAGCTCATTCATTGAAGAATACATTCTGAAAATTAATTTACATATATGTGCAAGGGACTAAAATGGTAAATAGAACGTTCAAGTTCATCCCAAAGATACTAAAAAATACTAGCTGAACTTCTAACGCCAGGTTAAAAAATCGACAATGAAAATACTTTCTAAATATCCAAAAAAGACAATTGACTAGTAACTCACAAACACACCCACCATGTTGGCCAGAATTTTTGCCACATAACACAGGAACTATACTGTTGATGTCCTGTCCGCTAACAGAAAAGGAATCTGCTCGGCAAGTACCAGTCATCAAATCAGGGCCTACTGTATCGAATTGTTCCAGATCTAGACGAAGCTGGCAGATGTTGGAAGAAATTTTCTTGACAGTCATCGAACAGAGTTCATTCCGAGAGCTCGGAGAAGGATAACCAGGATTTACAAAGTATGTGTTGTTGTCGGACACACTCCCGCCACAACTTTGGATGACTAATGAACAGAAAACGGAAACTTTACTCGTATTACATGTCCTAAAACATAAAAGTTATTTTAACACACAGTTGGGCAACGTTAGACCATTTCAATTTTCTATCATAATGTTTGGACTTTTATATTGCTTCTTCAGTTGAAACATTACTTATGAACATGTAAATTAACAGTGATGATTTTTAATTTAAAATATTTCCTTCTGTTGTTGTATGATATACTTGGCTCGTAGAAAGTCCACCAGGAAACATACTAGAGCTCTTGGGTATTGATATCGTGCAAAAATTACTTCGTTGTTACTAAATATCGAGAAGTCATGAATGTTACGAACATCATCCCTTATTTGATTAGTAATAAATGATTTGGTTCAAGTAAAGGTAATTATTTTATAACGGTTTTCACTAAACTAGTAATAAACTTAATATAAATTGGATTTTTATGTAGTTTGGATATTGAACATGAATACTTTAAGTTTGAAAATGTGACAGAACTAGAAGTCAATTTTAAAAGATTTATTAATAGTAGCTACAAACTGTTCAGCAAGTTTGTTGACAATCCGTTGAGGATTAGTGAATTTTTTTTATATTAATTTAATTTTCAACCTATATTCTTATTATTATAATCAAAATCCAGCTTACTTTATATACAACAAATCTAGCTTGAAGATTCTTAATTTCATTTCTAAGTGATAAAAAGCCAAATGTAAAAGATAAGTATTTAAAACACTTTAATAAATTTTGTTTCAATTTGTTTAAAAAAGTATTCCCGTTATAGATAACCCGTGACAAAATATTTTTTGATCATATTCTTGTCTAAGTTACTTCTATCAATTTTATGAGGATGCATTTTTTACAACATGTCAGATATTTTATCAAAAGCGTTTTGCCATTTTAATACAGCTCAATTTCTAAGTTACTGGTAATAATATGCTCGTAAGTACAATTTAATATACATATATATATATATCCCTTTGTATGACAAATTAGATATGCTATTAAGATCTAAATCATTCATTAATTAGTAATCAAAAATACAAATAGATGCAATTAATAACTGGCTGCAAATATTTCAATTAGAGTTGTTGAAATATCTAATAATTTTACATCATCCAGACTTTTATGCTTCAAATTCACAATAATTTAAGGCTTATTCACTTGTTTAACAGTGCTTTCAAAATTCTGTGACTCATAAAGTTTATAAACTTAATAAGATAAATTATTAAAACAAATATTTATTTGGGATAGAAAGCTACGAAGTGTACTCTTTGTATATTTAGTTTAAATACATTTCTAAAAATAAATTTATGTATTTTAATTTAAGTAAAAATACTCATATTTAAAAATTACAAAGTTTAAAATAATTCTGTTACCTATACTTTTGTTTTCATTTTACACTTTTTTTAAAAAACTTCTTTTTAGATATAAGGTAATTGTTAGCTTAATTAGTTTACATGCCCAAATGTATACACATGTCCTATGTCAGTTAGGCTCCATGTCTATAGTTCACTGTACTTAGCGACAAGCATTTACGATATGTTCAGTATGTTTTATGATTAAGTTAATAAGTTATTTTATTTCACTTACAAAGGCAACATACGCCAAATCCCTTGGCACAGGAGCCAGAAAAATTTCCCCCTTTTCCAATACAATCAAGAGCTGAGTAGCAAGTTCCAGTTTGATCTCCTACAGTGCAGGGTATATTTGGAAACTGGAAAATATTGAATACTCCAAAATTCACTGAAAATAAAATATTAATTTGATTGTTCAAAATCTTTTTGAAATCCAGAAGTAGAATATAAAAATACTAAAAACACGAGGTGCTTTGTATTTTTGTTTGGTTGGTAACTAGAATATATATAAATAATGATGCGTTGAAGATTACACTGGTTGATGTGTAACTAAGCTGCTAAAATGTTATGTTTCATTTGTGTTAAATAATAGCTTGATTATACAAGTAGAGTCTTTTCGCTATTTTTTTATTGTCCAGATTTTTAATGAAAACCAAATTAAGTTCATATAACATTTTCTATTATATATTCAATTTTATTCATTTTTTACTTGCAACTAATATCGTTAAGTTTATATTTTACTAATAGATACAAGAAATGTTATGCTTAAGAGTTTATTGTTATTCCTCAATAAAACCTTAAGACTATGTCTTAACTGTCAGATATGAAAATAGTACTGAAATGCAAATATATATATGTGTGTACTTATATAATTAATAATGTGATTTCATGTTTTATATTTATTCACTTCTGGAATATTTCAGCATACTTACACCTTGGTTCTCGCAGTGTTCCATGTTTTTTGGCTGGTGCTTGATCTTCAGTTCCAGTAAAGCAGAACGTCAAGTGACCGAAAGCTAAAATCATCACAAATACACTCTTCCAAAATGTATATTTCTCCATTTCCTATGTGAAAAATATATAAAGTGCGTTTCAAAGATACTCATTTTGAAAGCAATATTTATGAAGGAATTTGTTTTCTCAACAAGAAATCCTTACCGTTATCACTACCCTCTAGTGTGTTATATATGAGGTTAGCAAATATGAACAAAATAATTGTTGAATTTGCTATATTTCTTCTAACTCAAGCAGACTGATTAATATTGAGCTCTGGATCAAGCCCGTACGCAGAATGTTTGAAAGAGGTTGCTAATTTGTGAGATTAAAAGCCAACACATACTGTATAAAACAATCAGCATGCAAAGCATGCTAATGCTACGGGGGTCTGGGGGCACCCCCTAGAAAATTTGTAAAAAACAGGTGCTATGAGATTGTATCTGGAAACAATTTTGCATGAAATGTAGCTCTTACAATTGCATAGCTGTTCACATAAAATCCACAAACATCCAATGAAAAGTCAACAAATCATCATTCTGTTGTAATACTACATATATGTATGTTTTATTACAGTAAAATACTGTACTAACTACATGCAGAGTAGTTACTAAATATAGAAAATGCAAACGTTAAATACCATAAACAGCTGCTCTATAACTATATAATCATTTTTTTTTTACATCACAAAAAATAGGGGGTTCGTCCGAACCCCCACTGCATGCGTGTGAATATAACATGCGTATCCACAAAGTTTATGTTATTCTTAAAATTTTCTCTTTTGAAGCACTCCCCATACCTAGAACGTGTAAATTTATAAATAAAGATAGAATGCTGCGTTTTAGGAACACTGTCTTCAAATTTATGGTAATTCCTCAAACGAAAAATCGAAGTTAAATTTTAGGATAAATTTCAGAATGAAAAAGAATTATAATTGTTTATCTTTAATTCTAAAATACATTTACCTGTACACGGCAAAATTCTGTAAACTGTCTGTTAAGTTGTAGAACATTTGTTAATTTTAGAATTATATAAAACCTCGAAACAATTCTTAGCGGTATTATCAATCTAATGAAGAGGAAAACTATTTCTTTGTAAAAATCTCTTTCGATTTACTACCTAGTCATGAAACCCAGAAAAATAACTATCTTATAAGGCTGATGTATTAACATGTATTATTATTTTTTAACTGTTTAACTGTTCGCCGTGATGGACAGAGCGCAGATAGCTCCTTGTGCAGATTTGCGCTGAAACACAACAAACGAGCTTTTTCAACACCAGGGGTAAATAACTATCAAAAAGAAAATATAAACCAGTAAATGTTGATTTATGGTAACACTTGCTTTCAGTCAATTTCCTTGAATTAACTATTTTAGTATCCAAAAATGGTAAAGCGGGTTCATTTTGTTCTTCAACCGTAAATTTAATACTAACATGTTGACTATTTAGATAATTTTAAACATTGTACACATATTAAAAACAACAAAGGTGTCGTCATCATATTTTTTGTAATATAACGGTTTAAAGTATCCAGGACAGTAGACTGATCAAATTTTCTCATGGTAACTAAAAAACAAATTAGCTAAACATGGTGTAAACCTTAATCTCAGTCATAGAAATTCCATCCATCCCCCCACTCCCAATGGCTGAAAGGGGCGAATCTGAAAGCTTATAACACCAAAAACCGGTTTTTCGATACCTGTGGTGGGCAAAGCACAGATAGCCCATTGTGTACTTTGTGTTTACAAACAAATAAACCATCTATATGTTCGCAATGACAACATTTTAAAAGGAAATTAGTGTCTTTAGTGACAAATTCCAATCATTTAATAAATACTTGTTTCATTATGCCCCTAATAACATCTGAATTTTGGAAAATTGAGTCATTACTTAATGTTATTACTGTATTTAAAGGTACCATTTGTGTATAATAGCTTAATATCCAAACTAGAAATTAATGAGGATATGGTTATTGCTACCTTGTTACGTTGCTTCGCACTTGTCTGAGTGTCGGATTGTCTGTTTAACCCCGACGCTCTTGGCAACGTTTGCATATTCTATTGATTATTATATTAAACAACAGAGACTAGTTTCTTTACCAAACACAAATTTTAAATATTTTGGAAAACAAAAGCAAAAAATTATATATACATTTTGTATTTAATCGCAAAGGTCCGTCTCTACACGCGGCATTTATTCCATTGGCTTCATGAACGGTGAGCATGTGAATTATACGCCATGCAAGTTTACTGAATACTGACATAATTTTTTTAAAGTTAATCCTCCTGGTTATATCCTTCATATTTTAAAATAAAAACTAATTTGTACTTCTAGTTGTCCCGGAGATCTGGGCCATACCCAAGAACTTCTGAAAGTTTCCTTGTACTCAGCACAAACCCACACAATGAACTAGCTGTGCACAACCCACCGAGAGTATCGAAACCCGATTTAGCGTTATAAGTCCTTAGGCTTACCACTGAACAACGTGAGGACGAAGAATGAAGTTTTAATTCTTTGATGGTACGTACAATATATTTAAGTAGCGCTTGAAATGTAGTTATTACTAAATTCTTGGACACTTCATCCTTACCTACATAAACGAAAATATTCCACTATGACTTCTCTTAGACATATTCACTCAGTGTGAAAATGTAGCTAAGGAAATTAATCGCGGTTTTTCATAGTGTTTAAAATCGGAAAAAAATACATTTAAAACGGTGCAATCATTGAAGTGGCGCTAAAAACAATTTTCAAACTTCCATTTACACTTTTTTCACTTGTAAGTTGTTTATTATTGCCCTGAAAAAGATAAATCATCGATATTCTAGGCCACCTTATCTTTACCGAAAATTTTGTGAAATCGTAACATAGTATTGTGTTACCGTCAAGTAATATGCCCTGACCTTTCAATTAATTTTTCCTTCCTTCAAGTAGTAGCTGCACCAAACTCATGAAGTTTAATTTTTTAACTGTTTCACTGTAAGGTTCGAGTAGTAAGAAGCCATATTTACTTACCGAAAACGAAGCAACTTAGTATCATGTAAAAGTCTATGCGCGCGCCCTCTGTTTGTAGATCATCAAATTGTTTTACAACTAAAGTTAAGTTAAATCGTTATAATTTTTTATACAACCTTTTTGGTGATGTCACCTTTTTGGAGCTACAAATTTAATTTAGAACAGTTCTACTTATTTTTTAAAATTGTATAGTTTACGTGGTATTTCATTTTGATAAGAAATAAAAATAATAATATATCTATATTTTCTAGGACAAGTTTATGTATTCAAAATACAGTTTATTTTGAACATTCAAAAACGACTATGCATGTTTTCATAATATTATCATATGAAATAGCGATTTGCGCAAAATATAAAAATAATTTACTAAAAGAATGAATAAAATATTGTTATATAACCTGTATTTTATCTACAAAGGTAGGTACCTATAGTCATATTTCTATACTTTGCTTATAATTTTTTACTTAATTTTTAGTATTTTCTGTCTTTTTATTGAATATATTATTCGGCTAAGTAAATTAAACTCGAACAAGTTCAATCAACTTTGTGCTATTGGTTAGGGTTAACGAGAAGAGCTCAGTGAAGTTTTTTTCTGATGACATTAGAAGACTTATTTAGTTAGTTATATATGAATTTCATATGGGTAGCGTTGCTGGAGCTCTCAAACTTTTAAAGCTCCACATGAAATTTAATTTTGAATGGCTTTTAGTTTTCAGATAGCTCTTGCGGCATTCATCAATGCAAACATGAATATTCGACGACTGAGATGACGTAAGTTTTATTAAACATTCGAACGTTATCGATTGAAGTACCTCTGCTATTGCCAGCTATGCTTCTTACATAGTAGATTAATTTACAGTTTCTGTTTCTAATTGAGTTGATATGTGTGACCCTCGATAATCCAGTGTCATAGATAAGACCTAGACAATTAGCTCACTTGGCTGATGGAGCAGAGTCCCATAATGATATAATTTTGGTGATTTTGTAAAACGGACTACTTGCGATTTTTTGGATTTATTTTTATACGCAATTTATTATACCATTCTTCTGAATGCTAAAAGATTTTTAGAGAACTCTTCCACGTAGGTCCACGTTACCTGCAAGAGTTAATACACCACTTTTTGGTCAATACGTGGCATACTGCTGACATAAATAGTGTTACGATAGCGGAAGTCACGTGACGCGTTAGTATATAAGCCTGGCAGGGAAAGCCAGTGGAAATGGATGAACAGAGAGCAGTAGTTACTTTGAGTTCCGTGTAATTTATTATTCTATTAGTTTCGAGCTAGTGAGCCATAAAGTATGTGTTTTGCACTTCGAGAGCGAAGTTATCGAGATTGTGAATCGCTGTGATTTATAGCGTGTATTATAG